AAAAAAAAAAAAAAAAAAAAAAAAAAATGTAAGTTATTCACTGTGTGAGCACTATTTTGCTAAATGCATGTGTGTGTATATGTATATATATAATATATACACATAGATTTAATTTTTTTTTTTTTTTTTGGATACAGGGTCTCACTCTTGCTCAGACTGGAGTGTAGTGGTACAATCACAGCTTGCTGCAGCCTCAACCTCCCCAGCTCAGGTGATCTTCCCATCTTAGCCTCCTGGGTAGCTGGGATTACACCCACCTAATTTTTTTTTTAAGGGTTGGGGTTTCACTGTGTTGCCCAGGCTGGTCTTGCCCATTCTGCTCAAGCAATCTGCTTGTCTTGGCCTCCCAAATCATTGGGATTAAGGGTGTGAGCCATCATGCTCAGCCTCTGCTTTATATTTTTATTTCCGTAGCTCCTACCATGTTCTAACAAACTATAAATTTGTCTTTGGTTTGTTGACTGTGTTTCTCCACTAGAATGTCAGCTCCATAGGGTAGGGATTTTTGTCTGTTTTATTCACTGCTGTATCCCTGGTGTCTAGAATAGGTCCTGGTATATAGCAGATGTTCAGTAGATATTTGTTGAATGAGTGAATTCTCAATGTATAAGGCAATTCTGTAAAGCCTCTAAATCTACCTTCTCCAAGAAGCCCTCTGTCAAATGTATGTTACTTTATTTAATTACTGCACATTCCCATTTTACAGATGATGAAACTAAAGCTGAAATAAATACAATAACTTGTCCAGGGTCACTGACCTGAAAAGTGGCAGGACCGGATGCTTTTGTTTATCCAAGAAACATTGAGAGGACTGGGCGTGGCGGCTTGCGTCTGTGATCCCAGCACTTCAGAAGGCTGAGATGGGAGGATCACGTGACCACAGGAGTTTACGACCAACCTGGGCAACATAGTGAGATCCCATCTCAAAAAAATAAAGAGGTTGAGTGTGGTGGCTCATGCCTGTAATCCCAGCACTTGGAGAGGCCAAGGCAGGTGGATCACCTGAGGTCAGGAGTTTGAGACCTGCCTGGCCAACATGGCAAAACCCCATCTCCACTAAAAACATAAAAATTAGCCAGCCGTGGTGGCAGGTGCCTGTAAATCCCAGTAATCAAAGAGGCTGAGGTAGGAAAATCGCTTGAACTTGGGAGGCAGAGGTTGCAGTGAGCTGAGATTGCACCACTGCACCCCAGCCTGGGTAACAGAGCAAGTCTCAAAAAAAAAAAAAGACACCGAGTACCTCCTGTGTCGCAGGCATTGGTCCAGGTGTTAGAAAGACAGATGACCAAGACTTGGTCCTTTCTGTCCCTCACAGCACTTTTAGGAATGGGCGTCACAGAGGGAAGATCAGGGTGCTATAAGAAACAGAGGAGCCCCCCCAACTTCCACCAAGGTCATTGGTCTTCAAGTGCCCAGGCCGGGTGAGGTGACTCACGACTATAATCCCAGCACTTTGGGAGGCCAAGGCGGGCGGATGACTTGAGGTCAGGTGTTCAAGACCAGCCTGGCCAACATGGTGAAACCCCATATCTACTAAAAATGTCAAAATTAGCTTGGGTGTGGTGTGCTCTCGTGTAATCCCAGTTTCCCGAATAGCTGAGGCAGGAGAATTGCTTGAACCTGGGAGATGGAGGTTGCAGTGAGCCATTGCCCTCCAGCCTGGGTGAAAACATCAAAACTCCTTCTCAAAAAAAAAAAAAAAGAAGGCCGGGCGCGGTGGCTCAAGTGTCGCCTGTAATCCCAGCACTTTGGGAGGCCGAGGCGGGTGGATCACGAGGTCAAGAGATCGAGACCATCCTGGTCAACATGGTGAAACCCCGTCTCTACTAAAAATACAAAAAAATTAGCTGGGCATGGTGGCGCGTGCCTGTAATCCCAGCTACTCAGGAGGCTGAGGCAGAAGAATTGCCTGAACCCAGGAGGCGGAGGTTGCGGTGAGCCGAGATCGTGCCATTGCACTCCAGCCTGGGTAACATGAGTGAAACTCCGTCTCAAATCAAAAAAACTTCACAAAAAAAAAGAAAAAAGAAAAGAAAAGATAAAGTGTCCAAACCATCCCTTGGACCCAAACACTATATTCTGATTTCACTCGTGAATGCTCCAGCTCCTAGACTTCTGGGATCCCTTTGGAATTCATCTAATTCAGAGTTCTCTGCTGCTCTTTAATCATTTGTGCTTGTTGGTTTTGCTTCTCCCTCTGTCTTCCCCACTAGTGGGAGGCTCCCTTGAGAGCAAGCATAGTATTACCCTGTGGCAGAGTGTGCAGAACTCCTGCACACCCAGGAGCTCAGTCCCTCCCTTTGGTTGCCACTCTGCCCATGTTACAGGTAAGAAAACTGAGGTCCAGAGAATTCAATACTAGATCTAGCATCACCCAGCAATCAAGAGGTAGGATTAAAACCTGGTCACCCCCTAAGTCACCACTCCCATCACCTCTCACCTCCAGCAGACTCAGCTCCTCTGGACCTGGCTGCTGCCTCTGGGTTGGCGATTTTTGCCCTGGCATAGGGAGAGCAGACTTACGACATTTGGGGTCCAGAGTTAGGATTGAATATTCATGATGAAGGTCCACTTTGAAGTTCAGCCTTAGGATTGAGGCCATTTTGATGGTGGTGTCGGGGAACCTTTGGAAAGAGCTTGGAGTGAAATTTGGGGTGAAAGCCCTCCTTCTTTCTCCTGCACCTTTTCCACAAGATGGGGAGGTCTGGCCAGACATGGTGGCTTACACCTGTAATCCCAGCGCTTTGGGAGGCTGAGGTGACGATCACTGGAGGCCAGGAGTTATAGACCAGATCGGGCACACAGCAAGACCCCATCTCTATCGTGATAGCCTATATTCTCAGCTACTCAGGAGGCTGAGAGAAGAATCACTTGACCAGGAATTCAAGGTTGCAGTGAGCTATGATAGTGCCACTGCACTCCAGCCTGGGCGACCGAGCAAGATCCTCAAAAAAAGAGACTGGGAGGTCTAGGTCAGGAAGGGTTAAGTGTGGTTTCGCTTTCCTCGCCCAGAGGGGAAGCCAGGCCATTGGGGAGAAGGGGGGTCTGAGTGCCAGGGAGGGGCTGAGGCAGCGGGAACACGTTTCACTGGCTTCCCCCTCCTGCCTCTGCTTCTGGTTTGGAGAAGCATAAGACTTTATTGTCTGCAGAGCTGAGGGTGGGTGCCACACCCTGGGGGAGAGAAGCCATATTCTGGGCCCCCTCCCCTGGGTGCATCCCTAGTGCTCACCACACTGCCCAGGCACCCTCACTGAGATGAGAACCTTCCTTGTTCTCCCCCTCTAATAACCAAAGTTCCTGCCTTAATCCCATGCCAGTCCCTCATCCACCCCAAGGCCAGGCTTCAGAACCCAGAACTGAGGGCCTGTTCCAGCCCTGCTTTCCTTGTGTTTGAAAGAAGCCCTGATATCCTGGAACTGTAGGAGGTAGCAACATAATTTGATTTCCCTGGTTGCTCATTGGAGGATAAGCTGTGGGAGGCAGTGGGCAGGGCATGCAGGTGGATGGGGCCCAGACCTCAGCGCTGTCACCTCTTAGAGAGGTGGACCAGGTGCGGTGGCTCACACCTGTAATTCCAGAACTTTGGCAGCCGAGGCAGGCAGATCACCTAAGGTCAGGAGTTTGAGACCAGCCTGGCCAACACGATGAAACCCCATTTCTACTAAAAATACAAAAAAAAAAAAAAAAATTAGCTGGTTGTGGTGGCGGGTGTCTGTAATCCCAGCTACTCAGGAGGCTGAGGCAGGAGAATCACTTGAACCTGAGAGATGGAGTTTGCAGTGAGCCGAGATCTCGCCATTGCACTCTAGCCTGGTTGACAGAGCAAGACTTCATCTCAAAAAAAAAAGGGATGAGGTGGCTGGTGGGACCAGGATGGTGTCCAAGATGAGGCCGGGGTAGTGGAAGGCTGATCAAAGGGGTCCTTGGTGAGGCCTGAGGATGGAGGCTCCGGAGCCTGAGGTAGAGAAGCCTGGGGACCTGTATGATCCTGTTTTGTGAGAGAGCCCAGCCCCTCCCCAGAGCCAGCTGCAAAATGGACCTGGCCAGAGAGGAAACTAGAGATGAGTGTGGTGCTGGCCTTTGCAGCCAGCAAGGCTGTGGGGTCTTTGCTGTTCCTGCCCCCCAGTACCTTCTTCCCCACTACTACCTTCTTTCTGCTGAAACCAGGATAGAGACCCAACATTGACTGTCCAGCCCCTAGCCCTGCTGCCCCTTTCAGGCCCCTCTGGGAACCACAGAAATCTGGGACCTGATGTCCTGGCAACATAATGAATACACGAACAGCTCTGGTATCTGTTTTAAATTATCCATTAAAATAAGTACAGTTCTGGGGAAAAAAATAGTTGACTGGGTGGGGTAAGCAGTAGAAAGGGACTGAAGGAGGAAGGAACCCAGGCAGTCTCCTTTTCCAACTGCTTGGGTCCAAAGGAAGGGAACAGGAGATGGGAGGGGGCAGTGCTTGACTCCTATTCTTGGCCTTCTTTAGGGGACTGCGGCTTGTTGCTTGGGTCTAAAAACAAATGCTTGGTTTTGAAGGGAGAGAGATTGGGGCAAAAGATAGGAAAAAAGGGACCCCACGCTCCTTGATCCCTGCCCCCAAATTGGGGGCTTAAAGGAACTCAGGTTCCAGAACTTTGCTCCCCCCAGGGTCCCCAGGCATTCCTTCTCCACCCCACTCCTGGCACAATGAGATGCAGCGCTGAATGGCCTGCCCACGTGTGGAGGGGGAAAGGGGTGACTCACTATTACTACTGGGAGGACAGGGGGAGCCAGTGGTGGAAGAAGGGTGAGTCACACTGATGGGCACCAGCCTCAACCCTCCCCCCACTTTCCTGGCTCCCAGCCCTGCCTGACCCTCTCCCTTGCTTTGCACCCAGTTCCCTCTCTTTCTCCCCCACCCTTTGCCCACCCACTCTCCCTCCTTGGCTCTGCCCTGTAGCCAGAAGGTCTGAGGCAGTGGGGGCAAGCTTGGAGCCCGAGGTGCTGAGCAGGCAGAAGCCGAGAGAGGGGAAGCTTAAGCCTCACGCAGGAGTGCGCTGGAGAGGGTGGGGCCCGACTTCGCCACAGCCCTGCGGTCCTTGCCCCTCCTCAGCACACCCGCGCCCCCACCCCCGTGGATCTGGGACTGCCCCTTTAAGAGCAGGCCCCTCCTCCCTTCAGAGGAGGACCTATTAGAGCCCTTGCCCCGGCGCCGGTGACTCAGTGTTCGCGGGAGCGCCGCACCTACCCCAGCCAACCCAGATCCCGAGGTCCGACAGCGCCCGGCCCGGTCCCCACGCCTGCCAGGAGCAAGCCGAGAGCCAGCCGGCCGCCGCACTCCGACCCCGAGCAGTCTCTGTCCTTCTGCCCGAGCCCCGCGCCCTTCCCGGGACCCCTGCCCAGCGGGCAGCGCTGCCACCCTGCCGGCCATGGAGACCCCGTCCCAGCGGCGCGCCACCCGCAGCGGGGCGCAGGCCAGCTCCACTCCGCTGTCGCCCACCCGCATCACCCGGCTGCAGGAGAAGGAGGACCTGCAGGAGCTCAATGATCGCTTGGCGGTCTACATCGACCGTGTGCGCTCGCTGGAGACGGAGAACGCAGGGCTGCGCCTTCGCATCACCGAGTCTGAAGAGGTGGTCAGCCGCGAGGTGTCCGGCATCAAGGCCGCCTACGAGGCCGAGCTCGGAGATGCCCGCAAGACCCTCGACTCAGTGGCCAAGGAGCGCGCCCGGCTGCAGCTGGAGCTGAGCAAAGTGCGCGAGGAGTTTAAGGAGCTGAAAGCACGGTGAGTTCGCCCAGGTGGCTGCGTGCCCGGCGGGGAGTGGAAAGGGCGGCGGGCCGGCGCCCCTGGCCGGCTGCAGGAAGGGAGTGAGAGGGTCTGGAGGCCGATAACTTTGCCAGAGAGTCTCCTCCCTCCCCGGAACTGCCCCCAACGGGTGACGGCCAGTGTCTAGGGGAATTGTCAAGACAGGACAGAGAGGGGAGAGGTCTCTGGGAGAGGTGGGGGGATATAGGCAATTCACAGTGGGATTTGCCGGCTATTCGGAGCGTGGGGGGGCGGGAGGCTTGAGCAAAACAAAACTATCCCTGTCAGCTCGAAGAACTTTGGGCACCCAGGACACACTGGAGTGGCAGAAAGGGTCCTGTTAGAACTTTGTTGGTGGGCCTGGCACTGTGCCAGCTTTACCCAAGCTGCCTCTGAACACATGATGCCCACTAAGACATAACTCCCAAGCTGGCATCTGTCCAGCGTGTTGGAGAGAGGTCAGGAAGGCAGGGCAGTCCCCCTTTTCCCCTCCACGGGCTTGGCGGTGACCCCCTCGGCATGACCTTGCCCTGGGTTCTAAGGTTTGGGAAGCTCTCCCTCACTCTGTGTGTCTGGGACCTTCCTTGGGCTCTGACAGGCCCACCAAAACAGCTCGGGGAGATGGGAGATTGGCTCCCCCGCAGCTCCCACAGCCCTTGGCCTGCTTGGCCCAGGAATGCAAGGGAGGGAGGGAGACAGAGGGCAGAGGCTCCCAGCTCAGGAAGTTGTGTTATGTCCAGGTCTGGCAGCACTCCTCCCTTGGCCGTCTGCCCAGTGTCTTCGAGGGCTAGGGGCACTGTCCTTTCCTCCTTGTGGTGAGCCACTCTCGTTTTCCCAGCCAGGCCAAGCAGTCTTTGCTGTGGCCCAACCTCTCAGCTGCTGACGTTTTGATCTTTGCCTTATTAAAGTGCTGGAATACAATGACATTTTTGAAATCCAGCCGTTGGAAGCTCCAGGCCACTCCCACTTCACCCACTCCTGCCCCACCCTACCCCACCCTACTCAACCCCACCTTCTTTTCTAAAAAGGCCTTTGGGAGCTTGGAAGTATAGGCCCTCCTCTTCCAGCCCCCCACAAAATTTGGTTCCCTTCCTCTTGCTCTCCCTTTCTCTATTCAGACCCAGGCCAAGAGCACAGAGGGTGCTTGGAGATCCGTAAAGCGTGGTCGGCTCTGACTCTTCTTCTCTCCCTTTATATCATCTACTCCAAACTCCTGCTCTTCTCAGAAGCCCTCTATGCATTCTGTGGCGGTTCTACCCTTCGATAGTTGTCATGGGTGTGGCAGATCCATTGCCCTTCTTTCTGAAGAATCCATGGAAGTTGTGTGTAGGAAGACAGGCTCAACTTTTATTTTTTTTTTTGGATTTTTTTTTTTTTTTTTTTTTTTTTTTTTTTGAGACAGAGTCTCGCTCTGTTACCCAGGCTGGAGTGTAGTGGTGTGATCTTGGCTCACTACAACCTCCACCTCCTGAGTTCAAGCAATGCTCCTACCTCAGCCTCCCAAGTAGCTGGGATTAGAGGCACCTGCCACCACACCCAGCTAATTTTTGTATTTTTAGTAGAGATGGGATTTCACCATGTTGGCCAGGTGGGTCTCGAACTCCTGACCTCAAGCGATCTGCCCACCTCAGCCTCCCAAAGTGCTAGGATTACAGGCATGAGCCACTGTGCCTGGCTTCTTTTTTCCTTTAGACAGGGTCTCACTCTGTTACCCAGGCTGGAGTGCAGCAGCAAGGGCATGTCTCACTGCAGCCTCCACCTCCCTGGTTCAAGCCATCCTTCCACCTCAGCCTCCTGAGTAGCTGGGCAGGCACCACTACCCACAGCTGATGTTTTTGTATTCTTTTGTAGAGATGGGGTTTTGCCATGTTGCCCATGCTGGTCTTGAACTCCTGGGTTCAAGCAATCCTCCGGCCTCAGCCTCCCAAAGTACTGGGATTACAAGACTTGAGCCACTGTGCCCAGCCTCAAACTGTATTTCTGCTGAAAGAGACCGCACCTGTCCTTTTTTTTAATTTTTTTTTTTTTTTTAATGTGGGGTTTCACGGTGTTGGTCAGGCTGGTCTTGAACTCCCAACATCAGGTGATCCGCCTGCCTTGGCCTCCAAAGTGCTTGGATTACAGGTGTGAGCCACCACGCGCAGCCCTTTTCTTTATTTTTATTGTATTTTTCAGAGCCCTGTTGCTCAGGCTACAGTGCAATGGTGCACTTGTAACTTGCTGCAGCCTAGAACTCCTCCTAGGCTCAAGCGATCCTCCTGGCTCAGCTTCCCCAGTAGCTGAGACTAAGGGCAGGCACCACCATGCTCAGCTAATTTTTTTTTCTTTGTTTTGTTTGTAAAGATGGAAACTTGCTATGTTGCTCAGCTGGCCACGAAGTTCTAGCCTCAAGCAATCCTCCTGCCTCGGCCTCCCAAAGCACTGGGATTACAGGCATGAGCCGCCAGGCCTGGCCCCAGACCTGTCTTTTTTCTATTAGTGATATGAACAATTTAGTTGTCAAGACAGACAGGAAGCAAGGAAGGGGATGCCCCAGAGAACTCGTTGCATTTTAAACTAGTCCATCCACTCAACTACCAAAGCCCCGTGAAGGACATTTTTAGCAGTTTTGTGGTGAAAACTTTGATCGGGAAACAAGTTGAGTGGATTCTATAGTCTCTTGCTTACCCAGCCGTGCCAGTTTGTCTCCTCTGCCTCCTAGTGCAGCTGTCCAGGCCTGGGACACCAGGCCGGTATGTGCGCACGTGGGGCAGGGCGGGGGTGGTGTGTGTACTTGTTATATTTAGCCACCTGCCTCTGTTCTCCCCCACTGATCCTGGCTGGGAAGGCTGGGCTTCCGGAAAACAGAGGTGGATTTGCACACCTGGATCCCGTGCCGATGGAAAGTGGGGTGAAGACAAAGGGGACTCAGACTGGGGTGTCTGTCCTCTTCTCTGTCCACCGTAGGAGGAGCCAGGATTGGTCACTTCCTATTGGGTCTGCTGAGCTCAGGGTGAGGTAGAGAAATGGGTAAAGAATTCGGGAGAGGAGGCCAGGCATAGTGGCTCACGCCTGTAATCTCGGCACTTTGGGAGGCCGAGGCGGGCAGATCACTTGAGGTCAGGAGTTCAAGACCAGCGTAGCCAACATGGTGAAGTCCTGTCTTTAAAAAGAAAAAGAAAAAAAGGAGGCCGGGCGCGGTGGCTCAAGCCTGTAATCCCAGCACTGTGGGAGGCCGAGGCGGGTGGATCACGAGGTCAAGAGATCGAGACCATCCTGGTCAACATGGTGAAACTCCGTCTCTACTAAAAATACAAAAAATCAGCTGGGCATGGAGGTACATGCCTGTAATCCCGGCGACTTAGGAGGCTGAGGCAGGAGAATTGCCTGAACCTGGGAGGCGGAGGTTGCGGTGAGCCGAGATCGCGCCATTGCACTCCAGCCTGGGTAACAAGAGCGAAACTCCGTCTCAAAAAAAAAAAAAAAAAGAAAAGAAAAAAAGGAATTTGGGAGAGGAAAAAAGGCATTTTTCCAACCCCTCCCACCAAAGCCTAGAGAGAAGGTATTGTCTGGTTTAATGTTTAATTAGAGCTCAGAGTTCAGGGCCAGATTTGGAGTTGGGATGGAGAGTTGTCTGTAAGACTCTAGCAGTTTTTGACCCAGCCTGGGTACCTCAACCACACTCAGGAGTTTGGAGCTCCCTCTGTTGGGCTGGATTATAGGGTCCAAGAAGAAACCCCTTTCCCCAATACTCTCTCTCTTTTTTTGAGACAGGGTCTTGTTCTGCTGCCCAGGCTGGAATGCAGTGATGTGATCACAACTCACTGCAACCTCAACCTCCCAGGCTCAGGTGATTCTCCGAACCCAGCCTCCTGAGTAGCTAGGATTACAGGTGTGTGCTACTACGCCCAGCTAATTTTTATATATTTTTGTAGAGATGGGGTTTCACTGTGTTGCCCAGGCTGGTCTCAAACTCCTGGGCTCAAGCAATCTAGCTGCCTTAGCCTCCCAAAGTGCTGGGATTACAGGCATGAGCTATCATACCTGGTCTCTCTCCCTCTCTCACCCCACCCCGCATCCTCTGTCTCCTTCTAGTCTGGAGTCCAAGGGATTTGGATACCCAAGTGCAGGCAGACAGGGAAGGTTGAAAGCACCAGGAAAGCCTGCCTGGGGTCCAGGCTTGCAGCTGGGCCCCACCCCAGGCAAGACAGCTGGGTGGATGACTCAGATGCTGCCCCCCTCCCTCCCACCCCAGTGGCTTTACAGGAGACAGCAGGAGAAAGGGTGGAAACAGCAGATGTCTTAAAGGCAGGAGTGGTGGTCTGAATGTCTGCATCTTCTGTCCCCTTTCCCATTGCATCCTGAAGTCCCTTGTGTGGCTCTTTCCTTAGACCTTCTGGTGGTATCTGGAACCATAGCTCTCTGGACAGGCAACATGCACAAGTAATTAGAATCCAGAGATGAGTTCAGAGTTATGGGTTGGGCTGCAGGATAGTGCCAGGGTCTGTGCCTTCCCATGTGAAACTGATGGAGGAAGGCTGAGTCAGAAGTGGGGAGATCCCAGACCCACAAAGCAGAAGCGCTGCTTCCACCCAGTGAGGCCCTGGTACTCGACAACTTCCTGGATTGCCCACTGTTGCAGCCCCAGTGCAGACGGGCAGGGAGATGCCAGCTCAGGTTCATGTAGGCTCTGAGCAAGACAAGAACAGCAAAGGCCACAGAGGCACAGAGGCTTGGCCCATGTCACGCAGTAAGGGGGTCGTAGGTCAGCGCTTGAGCACAGGCCTTGTGACTTCCAGTTGGGTGCTCTTACCATTGAGGCTAAGTTCTCTAGCTTGGAGGACAGGTTGGAGGGAGGATCTAGAGGGTGAGGCAAGGTGAAGCCGGGTGGCTGAGGTTTGCTTCTGCAGCCTGGAAATTCTACTCTGGGGCCAGTGACACCTTCATGTTCTATAGCCATACTTGGTGGCTCATTCCTGTAATCCCAGTGCTTTGGGAAG